GATATGATTTATGACCAATGATAAATATTTCCCCACCTGGAAGCAAATGAATCAATAATAAATAATCATACACCCAATTTTCAGGTAATGGTAAACAAGGTCTTGGCAAAATGACTACTCTTAATTTTCGGTGAATCATCTGGTGGTCGAAAAATAAACAGGTGCCATTTTCAAAGATAAATATTGTACAGCAGCACCAGCACACAAAACACAAACCCTTTCAGCTGTTTACAGAAGGGGTGAGTCATACAGTTCTTATTCAGTCTTTTTCCCCCTTGACACCTGGCCTTGAACAACCTAAAACACTCAGACCTTGACGTCTCTGTGATCAAGGAACTGACTTTCAGTCACACACCATAATGCATCCTGACTGGAGGATTTACAAAAGACAAAATCTTAAAAGACAAATATCTTAAAATACTTCTTCTTTCTATGAACATAGTAAAAGTTCCTTCAGTGCTCTGTACAGAGGTTTCGGGAAGAATCCAGTGCTCATTTTGGATGGTTTGTTGTAATTCACACATTACACATCACACGTGCTCTCTTGCTTAAATAATCCCTATTAAACTGCTTTTCATCCTTATATTTTGTCTACCTAGGTGCACCTACAGTAGCTACAGGTCATCTCTATAAAATTCTGAAGTGTTCTAGTCTGATGATCCCGAATGGCCCTCCTGTCAAACCAGGCACTTATTATCAAGCTAGATAAAGGCACAGCTATGTAAATATATTATCTAGTGACGTCCCACACACTGGATCCTCATGTCAGGAGAGACAGATTTTCTAAATAAGTGGCAGTGGTTATTAAGATGTACTGAAGATCCCCTGATCTGAAACACAGTATTTTAATACCCCAGCCTCCAGTGTCTCTAGCGTTTGTATCTGCCATCGCATATATTTCTACACTCAGAGGCCAAAATATTAGGTACCCCTCATTGGACAACATTGTGGCCTTTGTGAACAGTAAGGACAGTTGGGAAAGAATGTTGGTTAATGGTGTGTGACATGACACAGTGATCTACACCTTCCAGGATGGAGATCTTTGACTTATTCTGGCTGGAAATTCAACACCAGTCATGCTTTGTCTAGACTGAGATGATCCACTTGCTGGAGTGGGGGGTTGTGATATTTGGGCCAGTTAGTGTGTGTTTGGTCCTTGGCTGAAGGCGGTGTTTGTGTGCCGACCCAGGGCTGATCGTCTATCTGGGAATGATGGTGGGAGCCTTCCTGTGGGGCGGCCTGGCGGACAGGATCGGGCGCCGGCAGTGTCTGCTCATCTCCCTCTCCATCAACAGTGTCTTCGCCTTCTTCTCCTCCTTCGTCCAGGGCTACAGCACCTTCCTGCTCTGCCGCCTGCTCTCCGGGGTCGGGTAAGGGACTCTCTCTCGGCCGGGGCCTGCTGGGTTTAGTGCCCGGGGGGGGGGGTGATGGCAGCCGGGGGCCGAACGTGTCCTGTTGAGCGAGCAGAGCACTAAAAGATGAAACGCATGACAAGGTGGACGAACGAGAGGTCCGTGTCTCTCCTGCAGGATCGGAGGCTCTATTCCCATCGTGTTCTCCTACTACTCGGAGTTCCTGGCCCAGGAGAAGAGAGGGGAGCACCTCAGCTGGCTGTGCATGTTCTGGATGATCGGGGGCATCTACGCGTCTGCCATGGCCTGGGCCATCATCCCCCACTATGGTGAGACATTCTTCCCTCTGTGTGAATTTCACCTGGCGTTAATCCACCTCCCCCGCCTTGTCCCCCTGTAAAATTCTCAGGGGCCTTTAGCCTCGTAGAGCAACTCCGAGGCTCAGATCTGCTCACGCCTGTTGCCCTCTGCGTTCACGGGGTTGGCCCGGGAGTGTCGACTGGCTCCTCAGTTTGTTCAACCCAGAATTAGCTTCGTGTTCAGATTTCTGTGAAACCTGTCCAGGATCCCACTCCTCCTGGACAGCACGCTCTACCGTTGGGAAGAGAACTTGAGAATTATTTCAGTTGACACCTTTGTCCAAACCTGGGGGAAGATGGAAAAGGGTTTTACTGAAGCAACGTGAGAAAGAGAAAGAACCTTTCTCAAGGGACAGCCAAGTGCCCCCCAAAGGGATCAAGCCCACAGCCTGCTAGTTACAACTGTTGCTCCCTGATCAGTCCACCATATTGCTGAACAATTCTAAACGCCTCAGGCTCATATCTGTATTATACTCAGATAATACACACTCAGGTGAGTTGTTGCCTGGGACAAACCTAATGCCATAAGCTTCCCCAACATTAACGGCATCAGCTCCAATATTCAGATCAAATTCGGAATGTATTTCATTCACCTTCTGTTTTTAATATCCTTTTCGAGAGAAAACCCCGGTCTGTGTGACCTGTAACCACAGCTTCAGAGAAGCTATGTGGCCATTTCCTGTTGGAAAGCAGCAAAGTGAATCTCTTCTCGTCCGCTCTGAGAATGAAGATATACCTCTACGAGTGCCTGGAACGGAAACCTTCCTGGATCCACAATGACTGTAAAATTGAGTTATGGAAGTCAGAATTTGTCTTCATTGCCCGTTCTCCAGCCACCAGAAATATTACATTTGTGTGCAGCCAGCAAGCGGTCTAATGAATGATCCTGCTGATCCACTTCGATTTCTCTCCTCGCTCCTTCTCTTCTCCCTTTCTCTCCTTTCCTCCCCTCAATCTCCCCGTGCCTTCTCCTTACTTTCCTCGCTCTCTCGCCCCGCCCTCTTGCCCTCCGCCAGGCTGGAGTTTCCAGATGGGCTCAGCTTACCAGTTCCACAGCTGGCGGGTCTTCGTGCTGGTCTGTGCCTTCCCCTCTGTCTTCGCCATCGCCGCCCTCACTACCATGCCAGAGAGCCCCAGATTCTTTTTGGAGGTGAGTGAACAACTTCCGTTTCGAATTTGTCCCTGCTCCATCCCTGCAGCATTGCAGACCCTTCATAGTATTCCATCTTACAAGGACACAGAGAACATCAGAAACAAGAGGACGCCAGATGGCTCATCTTCCTCATTTAGTTTGTAGAATCTAATTCAGATTATTGATCTGTGAAGCTGGTCCTGGTATTTCTAAGCAATTCGGGGGATTTTCTATAGACAGTGTGGTTTGTTCTAGACCTTTCCCATCGTTGATGCAAAGAATTGGCTTCTGTTTTCAATCTGTAATGCAGAGAGTTTCCACTTGAGCGCTTGAGTCCTGGGTGGCATTTCTGGTTCTTGACATAGTCTGCATTGAGTTGATCATTATCTGTTCCACCCCATGTCTTTGTTTTACTATTGATTGCTACTGAATGGGACATAATCCCCTGGGTTAAACATCTATATCCTGTAGGATCTTATATACCTGAATCCAATTTCCTCTCAATCATATCAGACTAAAGCCATTCAGCTCTTGTAGTCGTATCTGATGTTCATATCTGATGTTCCCCAGAGAGGAGGAGATCTTATTACTAGTCCTTCTGTGATGTGGTAACCAAAACTCAACACAATATTGTGTAAAGTGGGGTCTTGCTGCCGTGCTTTAAATTTTTTCAAAATACAATAAAATGTTTAGTATGTTTAGTGTCTATTCCTACTACCAGCGCGGATCACTTTTTCTGCTTCCCAATGTTAAATATAATTTGCCAAGTACAGTATGTCCCCAATTCATTAATTAGTCTAAATCTGTTTTGACAAATTTTTCCTTCCTTCCCTTGCTGCTGCATGTATCTTATGCAGATTTAGTTTGCTTGCTATATCACAACTTAAAGAACTATAAATCAGGAGTAGTGTGCCCATCACCGCTGTCATCTGTCGAATTAGAAGTTAGAAGACTGTCTTTTGTTTGTTAACCTCTCCTCAAACCATGTGCACTTATTTCCTTGTATTATTATCGCTTTTAATTAGAGAATCTACTTTTTACGAGGGACCTGATGAAACCTGAAAGCTCTCTGGAAGTCTAAATAGTCGCATCTGCTATCTTTGTTGCTTGACTGAAGAATTCAAACTTTAATTAAGCAGGACTTTACTTTCAAAATCTGTTAGTTGTCTCGCTCTTCTTCTTTCTAAGTACTCTTATAATTTAGCTCTCATTTCCAAACTATAGTTTCCTGGTGGATTTCTCTTTCCTTTTTTAAAAGTTGGTGTTTGGAGATGTCCAGTTCTGCGACCTGTATGTACAGGTCCTTCTAAATTAGAGTTGAAATATCCTAAATAAGGGCTGATGAATAACCTCTCTCACCTTCTTGAGTATGACTAGAAGATACCTCGGGATTAATTCATTTCTCTCCACACTAGATCCTGTAGAACTGCCTTTTTTAGTTACAGTAAAATCATCTAGAACAAAAGTAATTATATAGAATTGCTGTGTAAATATATTGAACCATACAGGTCCTATTGATAGATGCAGCTGAGCTCTTAACCAAACTCTTCATAAAATCTGCAATTATGTTTTATTTCAGCTTCCATAGGTATTTTTATCTCTTAAGCAGTTTGAGATAGGGAGTGATCTATACAGTCCCTCAATCAGGTAGTGAATTTCAAGCAAAGACTACAGAGCTTTCAAAACAACTCAGAGATGAAGTTATAGAGAAGCACAGATCAGGAGGATTATATAACAAAAATCAAATTCACTGAATAATTCTTTGATTACTGCAAAGATGGTCATTAAGAAGTGGAATGTGGATTATATCACCCATACACTGCCTAAATAAGGCTACCTCCAAACTGAGTGGCCAGGCAAGGAGGAAATTGGTGAGATATTCATCTAGGATGCTCATATTGACTTTGAAAGAGTCGCTTAACTCAAGAGCTGAGATGTAAGACAAGGTTCTTGCCTAAAACAATCTCCACAAGGAGAGCTTGAATGGCTTTGTTGCAAACTCTTGCGTGGGGTTTACAATAGCGCACCAATGTCATGCTGCAAATATACTGTAAACGCAAATGATTTTGTTGTCAGACAAGCAACAAATTGGAACTTGGTGGTGTAAATTCAAAGTGTCACATCTGACACAAATCCACCACAGTGCATCACTCAGTCACCACCATCCCTACTGTCAGGGATTGTGGTGAAGCATCATGTTATAGTTCTGCCTCTCTTCAGCATGGACTGGGAAGCTGTCAAACTGATGGAGATATAGACAGAACAGAGCACTGTTCAATCCAGTGTTAGAGTAAAACCTGCTTCAGACTGAGACAAAACCTCACCTTTCAATAGATCAGTGACCCAAAGCACAAAGCCAAAGCACACTGGAGTTGCTTTTTATTTCAGTAGCCCAGGCAAATTCCTGAAAATTGAAACTTGAAAATTGAAAATTGAAATTCCTGAAAATTTGTCAGTTTATGGCAGGACTTGAATACTACCGTCCGTAAGTGATTCCTAACCAACTTAGGAATGCTTGAATAAATGAAAGAATGCAAGGAAAATGAGCGCAAATACCTCCAAGCTGGTGTGCAAAAATTGGTAGATAATTTACAAATTGCAGTTGTAATTACTGCTAGAGGGTCTTCCACCCGATATTGAGTTCATGGGTCTGAAAACTTATCCAATCCACATATTTCAGTTTTTTCTCTTTTGTTTTTGCTGACATTTACTTTAATGTACCATTAGACGCCTTCAGTTTTAGCATTCAGGTTTTGAATAAAATATCATCATCATCATCATCATCACTTTCAGTAATCGCCTGTCTAATTCAGGGTCAAGGTGGCCCAGAGCCTCTCCCAGGAGCTTTGAGTGCAAGGCAGGACACGTCCCGGGCAGGACACCAGTCTATCATGGGGCATACGCACTCACACAGGGCCAAATTTAAACAAAACTGCTGGACTCACCAGCATGTCTTTGGACGGGGGGAGGAAACACATGTGAACAAGGGCAGAACATACAAACACCACACAGACAGCACCCCAGGAATTGAACCCAGGGCTCCAGCGTTGAAAAAAAAGTTGATGTTAAAAATATGAATGCATCATTTTGTAATTTTACAAAACGGGACACATTACAAATGCTCTGAATATTTTTGCAAGACACTGTACACAGCTTTATAAGTGTAAATGAAATGTTCGTCACAAATTATTAGTGATGTTCGGTTGCTGGGAGCTGGATGCAAACTAAAAGCAGGCAATGGCTCTTTTCCTTTGGGTTTAGGCAACAGGTGAGACAGAACATAACGGAAGCATTCCTCTTGCTTTCATTGGGATGTAATATTTGTATGTCCTTAGAGCGAGCACACGTGTGTTTCTGCAGTCTGCAGGCGTCTGTGCTAACCAGGTCCGGCTGTCTGTCTCTCTCCAACAGAACGGGAAACACGATGAGGCCTGGATGGTCCTGAAACAAGTCCACGACACCAACATGCGAGCCAAGGGCTATCCCGAGAGAGTCTTCTCCGTAAGTCTGACCTCCCCCTGCTTTCGGCTTCAGAAGCTAACAGATGAAAAATGTCCCTCAGGTGGTAAGAGCTCAGAGCGTTCAAGCAAGGCTATGCAGGGCTCATTTTACAAAGGCACCGGACCCCAGAAACACTCCAGCTGCCTTCAAGGTAATCACAGGGATCAATGATGTTTTTGGACTCTGAATTCTGTAGAATATGTATTTTGTGCATCCCCTCTTTCGGATGAGACGTAAAATCCAAGGTCCTGACTCTCTGTGGTCATTAAAAATCCCAGGGTGTTTCTCGAAAAGAGGGGGTGTAACCCCGGTGTCCTAGCCAAATTTCCCATTGGCCCTTACCAGTCATGGCCTCCTAATAATCCCCATCTCTGAATTGGCTTCATTACTTTGTTCTCCTCCCCCCCTCTGACAGCAGGCGGAGCGATGCCAGTTGGAGTATTCTTGGTCGCATTTAATGGCAACGTCAGCTCAAAGATTTGGTTCAAACCACCAAAAGGAGACGGGTGTGCCGACAAGCGGACCCTGTTGATGCGGGATTAACGCTAGGATGAGAGAGATGTATTATGTGCATCAACTAGGTGTTTGTAGGGGGTAGCTGCTTCGGGTTTCAAGATCTGAAGGTTATAACGCTTCATACAGTTCAAAGCTCCGTATCGTTCGACGCTGTTATGCTGCTATTACACCATATTAAATAATCACCCCAGCCTTTGCAAAAAAATCTGTGGTCTTGACTTACTGCAGAATTATCAAACATACTACAGTATATATCTAAAATGCATGCATACAATGTGGAGATAAAAATACAATCCCCCTAAACGAATATGTTTTTGTCTCATAAGATTTTATACACTTAAATGTTTAAGAGATGTGTCACTCAAGTTCTTTAGATAAATTATTTAATACTATTAAACCCTTCCTTAAATTGCCCCATAATGCTGATGTTTTGTGAAGCTGTCCTTAATTGCAATACTGAAAATGAAGAGATGAATTACACTGAGTAGGAACATAAACTTCATACAGTACAGTAGTGCCTCATTCAGTGCAAAGCAAGCATTCCAGAAGGTCTTTGCCCTAACCACATTTGTGCTCAAAAATGCCTTATAACATATACTCAATAGGGCTCAGTTTATTATTAAATTCAATAATTAAAAATGGTTTAAATACAAAAATGACATTTAAATCGTGCTTATATTTGCTAAATATTACAATATTCCAATTATAAATATCATATTTCATGAATGTATTTATTTTAGTTAATAATGATGATTTACTTCATATTGATTTTTATTGCTAATACAAATAATAAATGCAGTTGTTCGAGTAAAGCTTGATTTACCACAAATTGTTTCAGAATGAACTAGTTCCCTTGTCCTTCTTTGATATAGCTCCTACATTAAACTGGCGATTTGTCATCTTCTTCTTGACAAAAGCATCAGGAGTTGCCTGTTGTTTTTTGCTACCTGTCTGTTCCTTGTAGACCAGAGTTAAACCTCTGGAAATAATACTGCAGTACTGCTCACACTCTGGATTGTTTTAAACCCTCTGTTTTATTATTTTTATTGCCCGGTGCAAATAAAAATTCTCCCCACCAAAAATTATCTTCATGAAATATGAGCCATTTTTATTTTGCCCAGTAAATAAAAAATGACTTCTCCTGGAGACAAATGCCAAAATTCTACTGTACAGTAATTTTTAAATTTCTTTTTGAAAAACAAATCTTGACATCCTGAAATGCTAGTTGCGCTGACGAAAAAAAATGAATTGAACCAGGCGTTAGTGCACATCCTTTTCCCCACAGATGTCAGGTCCTGTGGGTCCTCTGAGATATAACGTTCTCTTTGCTGCCTACAAGTTAAGCAGCAGAATCACACATGTAAACACACAGTGAGCTCTCACCAAACCACGCTCTTCAAACTAGAGTACATTCTGATCCCTCTCAATCCCAGCAGACCCTCAGTTATAGTCAGAACGCCACACGAAACACAATTGCTTGATCAATGTCAGGGAGTAGCGTGGACATGAGAGATGCAGTATCTGCTAACATGGGCCAACCTGTGAGCTCCAAGGATGATATCACTCAGGTCAATAGTGATTTGGAACACTGTTATTAGTCTTTTAAAATACCTTACACTTTATAAGTACAAATAAGTTCCTTTAGATTTTTCTTTACAAAACATATGGGCATAGCGCAGATGAGCACAATGATGTTGACAAATACAAATCCATATTGTGCTCTTGAGATATTGAATACTTTAGGTGTTTTATACAGCCACAAGGAAGGGAAGTAATTTGCAGACAGCAGATAAAGTTCTGTTTCACATCATGCAAATCACAGGGACATAAGAACGATCACAAATGAGAGGGGGTCATTCGGCCGAATTACTTTGTTTGATTGTTAATAGCCAGTTGATCTGAGGATCTCATCCAGTTGTTTTTTGAAAGAACTGGCTTCAACAAAGTGGCTGGGTAGCTCATTCCATTCTTCCACCACCTTTTGGATAAAGAAGCACCTCCAGTTCTTGGTTTTAAATGCATTTCCATACAGTGAATAATAAAGGAAAGTTATTTTTTCTGTAAATAAGCCATAATAAAACAAGTTGAAGTAGGTCAGGTGGGGAGCTGCGTCAACATGCGTAGGCTGCAAAGGAACAAGTAAAAGGTTTATTCCATGCTGAAAAGAGAGAGAAAACACAACGTTTTGGCTGAGGAGCCTTCTTCGGGTGTTTCAGCATGGAATAAACCTGTTACTTGTCCATAATAAAACCAGGACAGTGATGGAAAATGGAAGCTTTCATCTGGAGACAATGAAACTGGAATAAGAAAATGAAATCTGCAAATCCACTGGAGTGACATAAACAGGGACAATTGGAGTCACAAGAAATGAAGATGGTGATGATGATGACACAACAAGTTTCATAGTGTAGAAGAGAGTTAGAGTTAGAGTTAGTCTGACCCATATCATGGTAATGATATTCACCTGGTGGCCAATTGCATAAAACATCTTATGTGAAACCCCTTAAATGTTCCCTAAAGCACTTAAATGTTCCTTGAGTTTAAAGCTGTGGCACAGAGGGAAAAGGGGAAAATCCAGATTCTGTAAGTAAGAAGTTACGTACTTCAAGTGTCTAATGCAGACAGGGCCTGTGCTCTCAAGTGTGGAGATTCCCCATGTCAGGGAGCTCTCTGCTAATCTCACGTTATTCCGCAGTTGACCAATTAATTATAACGAGGAAGGAAAATGCCCTCAGTTTTATATGCAGTATGGCCCTTTACAAACATGACACATGACACCAGAAATACCTCTAGGATTAAAGCTGTGCTTTTTTAAAAATGAAACACTATTGAAGTGATTTTGCAACAGAACCAGAGCCTTGCACCTAAGGAATGACTTGTTTTGATTGGGTTGTTTCCAAAACACATCTTTTCATTGCTGTTATACTGCCGACAGGTTCTATATATCACTTTCCAGCACTGTACATAGCAGCAGTCAGGCCCCACGAGGGTAGACAAATGAGGGAATGGGCCGTAAAACTAACTGCTGCAAGTGCAATTTTATTGAGGTGACAAGAGAACAAGTTTCCAAGACGAAGCGGTGTTTTACAAAAGACAGAACGTGGACATTATTTTCACCGCAGCTGTCTCCTTACCTATAATAACTGATTCTAGATCATTGCTGGTGCTCTTCACTGGTCTTAGGAGCCGATTCCAAGTCATTAATCAGGCAGCCAAGCGTGTAGCAAAACGCTGGCAAGAGTCCCGCTTATCACAGTTCTTGTGAACAGTTTGGCTACATGTGAAACATGCTCTAGCTCATTTAAAAACAGCAAGGTTTGTCACCTTCTGGATCTATCATTTTTTATTTCTCAGATCTGGAAAGAGAAACAACAAAAAGTGTTCTTCTTTCCAAAGATTAAGTCAATTTCCTTGTAATTTTAAGTGTTCACAATTAACACTTAATGCTGTGGTCACCCTGGGTGCAATTCCTGGGCTGCTGTCTGTGTGGAGTCTGTATGCTCTCCCTGTGTTTGTGTGGGTTTCCTCCAGGTGCTCCGCTTTCCTCCCACAGTCCAAAGATAAGCTGGTGGGTTAATTGGCTTCTAGTGTGAGTGCATGTCTGTGTTTGTGTCGGTCTGCCCTGCAATGGACTGGTGTCCAGAGTGTATCCTGCCTTGAGCCTGTGACTTGCTGGGATAGCCTCCAGCTCCCCCTCAACCCTGAATTGAATAAAACAGTTTGGAAATGAATGGATGGAACGTCCTGATAAATATTCTACCACCAAAGTGGGACATCTGTTCAGGATGGTTTCAAGATGTCCCCTCTCTTGCTCTCCATTTTCAGTAGAAGGGCTTTGGTGTGCCAATGTTAGTCTTCCGGACCAATAAAACATATGTCACAAGCAGGAGGCTAATTGAGCAGGGCATCAGTGTTCAAGACACCCACAACCCTTTGTGTAAAGAAATATGTGAAGTATTAAAATGCATGGACCCATAGCTTCTGTTTGTGCCTTCTGGTTTATGTGTTTGATTGTAAATCCAGGCGCTTCAATTTATTAAGACATTACAGAACTATTAAAAGTAAAAGACGTTAAAGTGCCCTGTTATTTCACATCCTTGTCCACTGTGCCCAGGTGACCAACATCAAGACGGTGAAGCAGCTGGACGAGCTGGTGGAGATCGGGGCAGATACCGGCGCCTGGCACCGGCGCTGGAGAATGCGCCTTACCAGTCTCTTCCACCAGGTACCACCTGAGGCTCATCGGAGCTCATCAGTCACTGATTAATCAAGGACCTTAATCTGCAGAAGGGACCCCAACCTGGAGCCCCTGCTCCACAGGCAGAGAAGGCATTGCTTTTCATAGCCAATGTCTTTAATGTTGTATGGTGTACTGTAATGGTGGCTCTGTGGCTAAGGATATGCACCTGTGTCTGGAAGGTTGCTGGTTCATATCCTGCAGCTGGCAGAGAAATCCTTGAGCAAGGCCCTTAACCCCAACTGCTCCAGGGGTGCTGTACAATGGCTGACCCTGCGCTCTGACCCCCAGCTTCTCTCCCTGTCTGTGTGTCTCATGGAGAGCAAGCTGGGGTATGCGAAAAGACAAATTCCTAATGCAAGAAATTGTATAGGGCTAATAAAGTGATCTTATCTTATACTAGGTATTCAGATGATGCCCTTTAGTATGTCACAGTGTGCCTAACTGGGGATTTTGATAATCAGACCCTAGTGTGCCCACCACCGTGGTCACAAGTTAGATTGGCACATCAGCCAGAGGAGCCCAGAGCACTTTGTTTTCCTCCATCATAATTATTTACACTTTATTTTATGAAGACAACAGTGATCTCCCGATTTTATGAAGACATCTTCCAATGTGAATACTCTCCTTACCTTCAGTATTTTCAGATTCCTGGGAATTGCATTTGACAAAAGGAATTGGAATCTTCTTAACGACTATAATTGCGTGTTTTGTAATGGAAGGTCCGTTGTGCTTGTGTGTTTGTTCTATTACTGTGGGGATGTTAAAAGTTCACCATCTTTCATGTAATCTCTGGCTGGGTCCTTGCTTTATCTCTTCTATTTAATCTTCTCTTTTAATCAGATGTGGGTCTTAATGTTTAAATGGATTGTATGAAGAAAGCTTGGGAGAGATGACAACAGCCAATTTCAGTCCTCCTCAGCTGTCAGTAATTAGCAATCACTCCCGAAGTCATTTCCTCTCCTAAAACATTATAAATACGGGAAGTGATCCCCTTCTCTCCTTCCCAGCCCACCGCCACCTCTGCAGCTGCCCCTTGGTCACCCCTCCCTCAGCAGGGGGTCTCGGCCCCCTCGTGCTTTAGCCAGGAGGCTGGCCTTCAGCCACGCAGGTTGAATTCAATTTACTGGGACTAACGCAGTCCGCAATCCCTTCAATACGCTTGATTATTGGGTGTAGCTATTCCTAGTGAGTCACACTTTTGGTTCGATCCTTTAGTGAGTGAAACGTTAGCCAATATAATCAACAGTACAATTGCTTGTTTTGTTGGATAAATCAGTGGAGAGATGTAGGGCTAGATGGCTTGATTAAGATTTTCCTTTACAGCTGTGCTTGTTAGAGAACTTGTTAAGGTAGATGCCCATCCAGTTCTATAAAATGCTCATTAATGCCAAGAACAGCTGAACGACATTGCAAAAACTGATATGCCATGATCTTAAAAAAGATAAAATCACTTGTTGCATACCAACATGTTCTGTGGTTTAATTAACCCTAATTTTAATACAGACATGGAACATCAGTACAGTACTGACATGATCACTTAAACATTGAACAACAACTGGACTAGTGATGGTCTCTTCTGACATAAATTTCTTTGCTAAAGTGCTTGAAAATGCACCGTTTTCCAGGGCTTTACAAACCGATCACGTCTAACGCCTGAAGCATTCATCCGGTGTAGAGGAAAAAGTAAGACTGGTGGGCTGAGTGCTCAGCTGTCTTCATAAACCCTTCCTTATGTCTCCATCTCTGGTAGGTCTGGGGGAATTTCCTGGCTTGCTTCTCACCAGAGTACCGCCGCACCACTCTGATGATGATGGCTGTGTGGTTCACTATGTCCTTTAGGTGAGAGTGATGAAAAACCGCTTCTCTATACAATGCGAAATTCTCCACCCAGCATTTAATAGTTTTTTATTTTGAATTGAAATGTCTGTTTTTATTGTTTACCCACCCAATTCAGAATCACACGCTACTCCAAAATGCCCATCTCTCAGGAACATTGTCATTCACTGAGCTCCACAGCGCCTGTTAGGCGAGTTTGTGCCCATTGGTGGAGCATCTCTCACTTATGCCACAGCAAGTTGGCTGATGCCCAGGTTCTCCCAGGAGAACTGAAACCTGTGGAAGCCTAGGCAGCCCGGACAGCAGCAGAGCTGTCTGCACCCACTTAAGAGTGTTCATCTGCTTTATAGTAGATTTTATGAGGACATTAATTGATTAAACTTCAACCTGATGATGCAAGATCATTTTGTGTTATCTTAAAGGGGAACTGCAGTTCCAAATTCTCAAACCAGTTATTTACTCTTAATAAAGAAATTCAACATTTTACAAATTTTGTAACCAGTGGTTTGAGACAACATGGCGACTTACAGAACTTTCACAAAGTTCCCGATTTTGTGCTCAATTCAAAATTATACAAAATCGGGAACTTTGTGAAAGTTCTGTAAGTCGCCATGTTGTCTCAAACCACTGGTTACAAAATTTGTAAAATGTTGAATTTCTTTTGTTATTAAGATTAATAACCCCTGCAAACCCCTGGCCTCACCACGGGCGAGAGCGAGAGTTCCCACGATTTGTGATGTGAAGCCTCACAGTCCTTCCTGCTCACTAGTCACTGCAATGACTCATGTAGTGCAATGTACAAGTGAATACGTACAGGTCGTGCAGCAGACATTTCACACAGAAATACTCCAACGTGATCTGCAGGAAGAGTTAGCAAGTAAATTGTATTTGTTGACAGCTGTCTTGAAATCGAGTGCAGTATTTCTATTGGATTAAAAGAGATATATGTGCAATCCTGCTTGTTTACAATGTTAAAACTTCATCTCACTTTTTTGCCTCGTTTATGAATATGGTGCTGCGCATATCTGGAAATGGCATCTATTTGGTGATGTAGATAGGAGTTTTTACATGTTGCTGTCTGCATTTTACTTATGTTATGGTTTGAAATGCTATGTCGACGCTGATTTTTTCTAACCCTGAAATATGAAAATAGTGATGCAGTTCCCCTTTAAAAGAGAGCCCTGAATCCTTGTGCTACAGTTTCTGAGAAGCAAAATGCAACTGTTAATTGGAATACAACTTTATAGTGGAACCCAGCTCCATGGCTTGTAGGCAGGTAGCAAGGCCATTTTGGAAAGGACAGTTACTACACGTCCCAGTTGGAAACACCAATTACATTTCTTTGTTGCTGTCCAGTTTGGAACCAGCAGCTACGAACACTCACGCTAGCGGGAGAGAATGAGAGCCATGAACATTGTCCTTTGGAAAAGTGCTTGTCAGGGCTCTCTGGCTTTTTCAACCTCTGAATCCCACAGTCTGCTTGCAGGTTGCTTGGAAGCAAGCTCATAATCGGCACATCGCTCACAGACAACACCACCGGCCCACAGGCAGTTTTGGCTTAAAAAATCGAGAATCTCCTGGCGAAACCAACCCCACACAGCCCCAACTGGCCAGTTGTAGTAGCATTATCCTGGTCACCATCTTATGACACAGCCCAGACACCATCCAGTGATGGCAAGATTACTTCTCATCGAGCTCTGTGATTCTGCCTGCTGCAAGATGCTTTTCACATCTCCAGTGACCAGTACTGGACTGGTACTGGACTGGTGCTGACCCTGTATAACCTGGGAGAGAAGGAAAAGGTGGGAAGTCCAGCTTGGGATGCGGAATTTTTAACAGCCTCCTTCTTGTTCAGTTGGTATCCAACATACTGAAGCCCGTTTAAAGGAGAGGATAGTTGTCCTTACTGTGTGCCTCATCTTAGAAGCCATGTTCACGTATCATTTGAGGTTCTTGCTTCTTTGATTTGACTGACAGACAATCCGCAGAAGACACAAACCTACCCGTATTTATACTGAACGTCCATAAAAGGGAGTGGCACAGAGTAGGGGGTAAGACTACTCTAACCTCATGGTTATGATTATGGGTCTAATAACCCATATGGGTTATTACATGGGTTATGGGTTGTGAGTTCGAGTCCCCACTGCAGACACTGCTGTCACACCTTGAGTGAGGCACCCAGGGGCCCCTGCACGGCTGGGCGTTCCTCCCTGCGAGGGGCTGGCATCCCGTTTGGAGATGGATAGGCGGAGATCAGAGGGGGAGCAGCTGGCTAAGCACAACGCCAATCAGGATGAGCTCTGGTCAGATGAGCCACTGTGCTCTGCTATGGACATGCTTTGAACTGGCATGAATACTGACAGCAGGCTAGCAGTTACCAACAGTACCAATGTAGGAGAAACAATCTTACTAGTAATTATTGATTACAGGTTGTGCAAGCAATGATTTTCAAGAATAATTCGAGCCACAGTCTCCTGAAAAGGATGGGAGTTGTGTTAATGACTCTATTGTATAGGAATGGACGTCGTGCAGATGTGTGGGTGGAAAATTGCATTGCCGGTAATGAGGTTCCCTCAAAGCTTGCAAAGTTAATTAAGAATATTTCATTTGCTAATTACCTACATCGGTAGAATAAATAGCTCCACCAGGCCACCAGTCAGATAGCTGGTATGATTGTAGTTTTTCTGAGATTGTGAGGCTTGTCTTTAAAGGATTTCACAGGCTAATCTATTTTTTTTACTCTTTTTTACAGAGAAAATGCTTCTCAATGTCTGCTTCGTTAGAATTTGCCACCATCCCTTTTTTAACAAAGAAATGTAGTTTGTGGTGGTGCAGGAGACATACTCTTCACAGCTGAACTAGAAATCTGATTTCCCATTTTCGTTTTGTCCCTTTCTCTCACTTCTGTCTCCCTCTGTTCCCTGATGGTGTCTCCCTCTGCCTCTCCCTCGCCTGCCTCTCCTCCGCTCCCCCGCTCAGCTACTACGGTCTGACAGTTTGGTTTCCAGACATGATCAAGTACATGCAGAAGCAGGACTACGCCATGCGCACCAAGCTCTTCAGCAGGGAGAAGGTGGAGCACTTCACCTTCAACTTCACTCTGGAGAACCAGATCCACCGCAATGGAGAGTTCTTTAACAACAAGTGAGTGAGCAGTGGCGCGTCGCCGGCCCCCTCTGGTTCGTCCTGTAAACTCGAAACACCATGACAAGCCTTTCCCAGCCACTTCCAGTCCGTGTCTTGTGCTTCCCTGTTGTGAGAATTGTACTTTTGCTGACCTGTGGCTGGGCTTCCTTCTTCGGTCCCAATGTCCCCTCTAACCTGTAGTGTCTAATCTACAACCCAGAGCACTCTCAGTCCAGGAGCAGACACCCAGCCTTCAGTGACACCCCATTACAGTGCAGCACCAAGAGGGCAAGGCAACCGCCTCTTATACGCCTGTGGAGATGGGAATGGGAATATACCAATGCAAACAGAGGAGGGGGGCATATAACATGACACTTAAAATTTTATATTGATTTTGAGGGATTTCATAAATGTTTGTATTACACTATAATGCTAGTGTATTGTAACGCTTACGGCCGACAGGCACTGTGTAAGAGCCGGCGTACCAGAGCAGGTGACGTCACCGCCCTTCCCTGTGATAGCAGGACTACAGCTACTGGGCTGTACAGAGATCTCTCTTTAGCTCACGGGGCTAGGTCGGTGCAGAGAGACGCGGGAGTCCCGGGTTCGAGCCTCAGTCGGGATGGGGCCGACCTAATGCGGCAAGGGCGCCCGCCTGAGCCCCCGTTGCGTTACAGTATTATTAATAGATAGTCAATGTATGTTTGATATTGGCCTATTTTATGATTCATGTTATTCCATTGTGGTAATGGTATGGCCCAAAGGTATATAAAGGGATGCTGGGAAATGTTTAGGCAGTCAGTAATAGTGACTCAGGGAGGAGAGCTCGAGGAATATTGAGCTAACTAAGGCGTAAAAGCCTATGATTACTACTATGTTTTTATGTTACTGTACCTTGTCTGCAAATTATAGTATTTTTATCTTTTGATTTTTTTTTTGTTCATTGTGGTTGTTGCTGTCCCAGCTGGGACACACACGTGCCGTTTTTTTAACCGAACTGTCGGCTTGGCATAGTGAGACTCTTTCATCAACATGCCTGGAAGCCGGTGCTCACTCCATCATTCTTGAGACGAGAGGAGACTGCTAATCAGCATCAGCATCACCTGCTCGTTCATACACCTCTTGCACATATCACCCAGTCTCTTTAATAACCCCACCTCCATAAGTTCACCCCTACATAGTTCTCCAGATGCCAAATCAATCAACCAAACTCCCCCCCGATGACAGCTGCCCTGTTACTATCACTGCTCCTATCTTGTTGTATATTGTTTTACAACTCTGCGTATGTCTAAGAGTCTACAGACACACTGCCGGCTTCAGATTGCCCTCCTGGTGGGTTAGTGCCACCTGGAGGAGGCTGGGTGTCACTGCATTGCTGTTTTTCTGGGAGCCAGAAGACCCTGGGTGACCAATGCCCACACCTGCTCTGGCGGTGCTCTGCACATTGTGTGCTGATGCTCGGAGTCTTCTGGTCACCGAATACTGTCAAGCTTGAACCAGTGACATCTGAGCCTTAGGGCTTTAACTGGTTGAGCCATCTGGGAGTCTTCACTATCTTTTTCATGTGGGCAAGAAAACATTGCTTCTCAGACTCCTTCAGATTCTTGCTCAGGGGATTGGAGTTTGTTCCTCCAGGGCCCAAAGTGACCACTAGATTACCTTTTTTGCTCAACTTGTTTATCTAATTGGTCTTTGGGGCTCCAGTATTTTTCAAGCTATAGAAGAATAAGAGGTTGATGCCCTTGTAGAATACAATCGTGGAAAAAAAGCAGTGACATTCTTCATTTGGTACAGTTAAATCCACCGCCCCCTTCTTTTAAGTAAAATTTAATTACTTATCAGTAATGTATTTTCTAATTTTGTTCAGCATTCATACACCAAGAAGTATAACAAGTAGTATCGATTCATGATGAAAGGACAGAGGACATTCTTGTGCCTGGACCTCTATACAGTAGTCTACTATACGGTACATACTGTAATAATGCATTGAAGAAATACATCATTAGTAATGATCCAAAGAGAATACGCAGTATTCCAGAATGTCAAAGGTGACTAAGACAGTCCAAGGGAACACATGAATATCAGCAATGAAATGTAGATCTTAGGACACAGGTGGAAATTAAGAGGTGATTCCTTCTGGACTGAAGGTAGGAAGGTTTTTTATATATATAAAGAGCTGTAGCTGCTGGGAACAAACCACCCAGTCCAAATGACTGGATTAGATTCGGCTGCCAGCAATGTTTGCATGTTCCCCCTCCTCTGTCCCCACAGGTTCATCAACATGAAGATGAAGTCCATGGTGTTTGAGGACTCTCTGTTTGAAGAGTGCTACTTTGAGGACATCACCTCCAGCAACACTTTCTTCAGAAACTGCACCTTCATCAACACACTCTTCTACAACACTGGTGAGGGGGGGTGGAGATGGGGGTTTAGGTGTGAGGGATGGGGCAGCCAGAGCCCTAACAGGAGGAAAGAGGGGTCAAGGGGTCAGTTTGTTCTCTGGCGGCACAACCATGTCTGTGTATCGGCCTCCATCGCCTTACATAGCAAGTAGATATAAAAATAGTAGAGCAGTTTACTGCCATATGTACAGATACATTGGAATTCTTATTTTGGGACAGACACCCTACAACAGACAACACCACACAGAGTCGACAGTACGTTACAAGGTACTGTCTACACTGTTAGAAACAGAAAAAATAATAACAACAGAACAATAAATATGTAGTACTGAAAAAAAAACCACGGTAGACCATGCAAAACGTGCAGATGTGCATTGAGTCTGAGGAATTGCAGTTAGCTGTTAAGGATGCGGATACTTTATATGAGCAAAATATCATGAGTAAATGGGGAAAAAGCATTCTAATAAGGTTTTTTAGCTATGTTATTATACAAACTTGCAATGAACCAACGTCCTGGTGCAGGCTGAAATTTGGACGCCTCACAGGGCAGTGTGAATTTGAATCAGAATGTTGAGCAGCAGTGCCCTTTTTTCTAACTAAGGAGCAGGAAAGAAGAGACACCTACAAGACATGCAGCTGCTACACACAGACTCATGCACAAAACTGCAGTTCCATTCTTAAAATCTCTCAGAAACACAGACACAAATTAGAGTTCTGTTTTTCGAGTACTTTAAATTCTCCAGTCCTCCAGGAACTTTTTTGACATTGAAAGCAAAAAAAAAAAACAGTATTGCTTTCTAAAATGCATGCTTGAAATTGGACTTATTTCATTTGGAGGAGAGATGTCTTTCTCCCACAATAGTGCTTTTTTTCCCCAGTTTCTAGAATTCCTTTTGTGCCCTCTCACGGAGAGCCCTCTCTGTGATTCCCTCCGCCAGATCTCTTCAAGTACAGGTTTGTGAACAGCCGGCTCCTGAACAGCACCTTTCTGCACAACAAGGAGGGCTGCATGCTGGACTTCAGCGATGACAACAACGCCTACATGATCTACTTCGTCAGCTTCCTGGGCACGCTGGCAGTGCTGCCTGGCAACATCGTCTCTGCCCTGCTCATGGACAAGATCGGCCGCTTGCGCATGCTGGGTGAGATGTCCCCTGCCTGACCTCTGACCTGTCTTTTGTAGTCTGTGCTGCCTAACATGCAGTTCCCCTCCTTCTGTACAGTTTCTTCACTCTGGTCAACATCTGCAGCATGCCTGAAGAAGCAAACACTTCAGAAATACTTCCCCTTAAAATGGCCTTCTTAATGTTATTAAACATGATTCATTTTCTGTTTGAAAATGGGGAACTAGTACCCTCCAGGAACCAGGAAGGGGACTAGGTCTTTGCTCATGACAAAGAGCGTCCAGTATGAAAGCAGCAATCACATTTCATTAATTAAAAACACACAAAAACACCACATCCCACATCATTCCATCATCAGGAATGAATCATCATTGTCCATTAGCATTGATAATGTTGTCTTTACAGACTAGTTACTGTTTGACGCAGGGGTCAGCATTCCTACCTCTCACCGCTGGGCCCTGGGATCAATTCCAGACCTGGGGATACTGTCTGTGTGGAGTCTGCATGTTCTCCCTGTGTTCGTGTGGGTTTCCTCTAGGTTTCTGGTTTCCTCCCACAGTCCAAAGGCATGCTGGTGGGTGTATTGGCCCTGGTGTGAGTGTCTGTCCGCCTTGCGTCCCGTCCAGGTTGTCTCTAACTGCAGTCCTCCTGCTGTGTGTTCTCTCCACAGCGGGCTCCAGTGTCATGTCCTGCATCAGCTGTTTCTTCCTGTGGTTCGGCAGTAACGAGTCAGCCATGATCGCTCTCCTCTGCCTCTTCGGGGGGATCAGTATTGCATCCTGGAATGCCCTAGACGTGCTGACTGTCGAGCTGTACCCCTCAGATAAAAGGTAAGAGCCACGCTGGTGTGCCAGGTCACTGGAGTGGCTCATGGTCTCTACTGTTGTCATCTGTGGTGCCCTGATTGAAGGGAAACATCCACAGATGAAACTAGGGTTACCGATGAGAGGAGGCCATGTGGTAGTTGACTCCTAATTAATTAACCCTTTGGCCTTGGCCTTTAATTCCCATGCATATGGTTTCCACACATATCCTGACAGAACGTGACAAACTGGAGAGGACATTAGCAGGTGTTGGAGTCTGGGCAGCGTCACTGGCCAAATGTTTCCGACACTAGCTGCTGCCAGTGTAGAGCACTGCTCCTGCCCAGTGCCCCAGTGCCCCAGTGCTCCTGCCCCAGTGCCCCAGTACTCCTGCCCCATACTTCTGCCCCAGTGCTCCTGCCCAGTGCCCCAGTGCCCCAGTGCTCCTGCCCCAGTGCCCCAGTACTCCTGCCCCATACTTCTGCCCCAGTGCTCCTGCCCCGTGCCCCAGTGCTCCTTCCCCTTACTTCTGCCCCAGTGCTCCTGCCCAGTGCTCCAGTGCTCCTGCCCCATACTTCTGTCCCAGTGCTCCTGCACTCCATCCCTGTACTCCTGCCCCAATGCTCCTGCCCTGTACTCCTGCCCAGTGCCCCAGTGCTCCTGCTCCAGTACTATTGCCCAGTGCCCCAGTGCTCCTGCCCTGTATTCCTGCCCCGTACTCCTGCCCCTACTCCTGCCCCAGTGCTCCTGCCCAGTGCCCCAATGCTCCTGCCCCAGTACTCTTGCCCAGTGCTCTTGCCCAATGCCCCAGTACTCCTGCCTAGTACTCCTGTCCCAGTGCCCTGCTCACAGTGAGGCCAGACACCGGCACACCAGTGACCAGTGCTGGCCCTCCTGCGGGGCTGCAGCACTGGGCTCTTCCTCTGGAGAATAAAGGTGCAGCAGTCGACTGCTCCCCAGCTGTACTGGGCCTTTGAATTAGGGAAAGCCATGACAAATCACAACTATCACTACACTGCTGTTGTAATATTATTCAACATATAATTATGGTGTCAACACAGCAGGTGGATTCACAGAAAAGCCCAAGTAATTCAATATTTTAAGACATCATGCTGTTCTGTGAGGGAAAAGGCCGATAGAGCTGGTTTTGTTTTTTTAAGCCACTGATTCCAAACACTCTTCAAGGAAATACTCAGCTACAGTATGTGTTTACTTTTCAGTCAGTGGTATGTAAAGCAGTGTAATACTGTATATACATATAGAGCATACTCTATATAAAGCAATGTAAAGCACAATTGATCTTGAAGTCATAATATATTAATATAGTTAATCTATTATTAACCGAGGTCTTTCCGAACGACAAAGAATTCCATACTTGTGTCATGTGAACTAGAAGAGTCCTTAGATTTTGGTTGATCATCTAAGAAAGATTTAGAAACGTGCTTGCTCTCTGTTCACGTCACGCTGTTCTGCCAGATTCTGTGTGAAAGACGTCATTTGCAGGAGCACAGTGCCACCAAGTGGAAACTCTGGCCTCCTGCACGTTGGTCTGCGTGGGAGTTGAAGTACTGTTATTCTTCACTCCTGGTGCTGTAGAGCCCAAAGCCACAGTGGTTTAAAAGGAAATCTCAACTCTTCAATGAGTGACCATGTTTTGAACATGCGCAACGACATGTTTAATTTACTTAACTGAAGTATTAAGAGTTCGCATGTTTCAGGTAAAATCTCTTTTTTTTTTCTTGAAAGGACTCTGGATCTGGCAGTTACAATAGCGTAGTTGTTATAGTTGATAGAATTATCTACAATTAAATAACGGCAATTAAATAAATGTATGACAAAGATACTATAAATGCCACGAAGCAACGGGTTAGTCAGATTTAACTCCTCTCAGGCTTGCATGTCGGTTAACCGATAGACCGACATTAGAAAATTCAACTCATCGTTTTGTTATTCATATATTTTTTTTTTTTAGAACCACGGCATTTGGGTTCCTTAATGCGCTGTGCAAACTCGCGGCCGTCTTGGGCATCAGCATCTTCACGTCCTTCGTGGGCATTACCAAGGCCGTGCCCATCATGTTCGCCTCGGGCGCCCTGGCCGCCGGCAGCTTCCTGGCGCTCAAGCTCCCCGAGACGCGAGGGCAGGTGCTGCAGTAGCCCGGCGCCGCCACCAGAGGGCGGTGTGGAGCCAGAGAGGCGACACTGTGACTAGAGTTACCCACCAGGGCGCCATAACCTCGGGACACCTGGATGCAGCCGCTAAAGCTACATTTCCCTTTTGTTTTAACCTTTGTGTGCTCTTTGAGTTTAAGGGTGTTTCAAAAAGCAGCTTAATATGTTGACGTCAATTGCATAGCTAACTGAATTAGGATCAATATTTTACTACATGAGCTATTTAGGTATTGTCTGCAAACAGGTCTGGGCCAGTTTAAATCGTACTAAATAATACCATTTCTACACCACACGAGCAATTTATTGGGTTTCGAATACAGTACTTGTTACTAGGAGGGTAATCAGCGAGATTGGGCCACCTCCTTTGGAAACATGCTTGTCTATATTAAGACAAGACAGATCAGTAGCACATTCGTCACAGAGTTTTAGTCTTCCTGTGCAAAACCTCTACATTAGAGAAGCCTCTTGGTTAGTTTAATTGCCCCCTCTCTGTAGCTTGAAAGCACCCTTAGGTCTTAGAACAAACACCTCCTGCACTGCCATGTTTTCGACAGCAGAGGGCGATGTTGCTGGGGAGCTAGTTTACAGACCAGTGTGAACACCATCTCATGACGTGTCCTGAGGCATTATGGGGCCAAGGTGGGAAGCCTGGTAGTGACCCATATGCGTACAGCTCTTTCCCTCCTCCCTGAGCCGGCCCAGCCAGCTGCTGTGGGAGCCACTTGAGAAGTCCAGTCATCTCTTAGACTCGTGCTGCCCAGTTCTGGGTCAAGACAGATCAGTCTTGACCCCGTCTGCCGAAATGGACACGATTGATGTTAGCCCTCAGCCGAAATTAACTGCAAGCCTCCCCCCCGACAGAAACGTTCAATATTAACCGACATTGTGGCGCCACGATGTTAAGAGGACTTTCACCACAGCCTGTTCCTTTTCCCACATGGTTCAGATTGAGAAGGAAAAAAGCAGAAGAGTTGAAGTTTGGTTTGTTTCGAAGGCCAGAAAAAAAATGCCTTAAAACTCTCCAAAATCAATGGCTAACTGTATTTGAAAGAGTATTGTACTGTACCCGGAGAACAGTCCATGCTTTAAATAGACAGAAATCTATCTCATCTCTGTAAATGAAAATCAAAACATTCTTACCAGTTTAGCACAGAACATAGCAGCAGGACTGGTGTAAACATTTTTAATGAAAAGTCGATCCCGAGTCACTGGTCTCCCTCCCTTGGGCTTTCACTTTAAGACGGGGAGACAGTGGCTCTCAGAATGATGAGAGGAGACTTGGTCCTCCTTCCGCTGAGCTTCGAGGAGTCTTTCTGAATCCTGTTTACACTGCTGAGAACACCACCTCTCCAGCTCTCTCCAGACTCGGCCTGTCCTGGGCTGAGTGTGGCTGCAATGCCAACGAGAGCTCAGCATCTTGTACCGCCAGCCTGGTGACTGGACCAATCGATTCAATTTTAATTCAGTTCAATTCAAGCTTTCCTGTCCCCTAGGGGGAATTTGTTTTACGGCACAGTCAAACACAACACAATGACAAACACACATCATATTTGTCATTTGTCATATTTGTTGGCGACACTGAGGAAGACCAACAGTGGGTTTACTGTGCTCAGTAAGCACAGCTCAGTCCTCCCGCACAGTATACAGTACCATCACTTTGGTCTTCTCCCTTGTGGTCTGACTGCATGTTCACTGTTCTGGGCTACAACTACAGACATTCCGGACTCCATGATCGGCCATATTAGGATCTATTCACAAGGATCGTAAATATTGTTCCAAGGACAACTTGGCATTATCATGATCGAGTGCAGCCAATTAAACGATTGCTGATCAAACCAGGTAAAACACGCATTAGAAAGCCATGGTACGAGGACTAAATGACCTTTTCGTCATTCTGAGCTATGTCCTGTCTTTTGAGTTAAAGGGCGCCAGGTCACAGGAAAAGAACACATTCCCTCCGAAGAGAAAATGCTAGAACACCACCAGGGAGTCAGGCAAGGTCTGGGCTGCTATAAACCCGGCAGGATCCATCGAGGTGCAAGCTGAGCCCAGTCACTGATAAATTAAATAGGATTCGTTTAGCTCTAGTATGTTTGGAACTTGTTGGAAAGAGCAGTGTTTGGAGCCCATTTCCTGCTGTTCGGAGAGGGCGTTCTGGCTCAGCGTTTGTCGCGTGCCGGTAGCTAGTTCTGTCCCTGTTGGGGTTTGGGGTGGCCTACTGATCAGGCACGTCCTGTACAGGCGAGTGCTGGGCCAGGGCCTCACTCCCATGTCAAACCTGTCTCCATGGATACATTGTGGAGGCCTAGGTTTCAAGGTCCCCCTCTGCAATCTGTGGATTAATTTTATGGCCTCAAGGTTCGAGACTGGGGCTTTCCGTCTCTGAGGAAACTAGCATACAATCAAACCAGGCAGCATTAAACCAGAGCGCTCCAAGTGTATCTGATGAAATGTGTCTTTGAAGGCCCTAATTCCAGTTCCCCTAGCACTGAAAGAAGAGTCCCCCAGTGCAGGTTTCTGTGCAGCCTTTACCCGGTGGCTCCCCCTGCTGTCTGATGCCAGTCGTGGCTGCGGTCCGGCGTTGCTCTGTCTCGTGCGGGACGTCTTTCAACCCTTGTTAAAGATGTTACGGAAGAGTCACGTTGTACAGCACATGATTCACGCAGTTCACCCACCGGCTGTGCAAAATTAGAAAGTCGTCCCTGCCTCGGGTCGTTCAGGAGCTCCTCCGACGTCGTGCAGTTCATCTTCATCACATAACAGAGCCCAGCGCAGAACCCAGACAGCAGTATGTCTCTGTCCCGTGTATTGCTGTGCGTGGCACTACCGCAACTCGCTGAGTCTAATCGGTCTCTCGGGACCTGTCCTGCCCCTCCCGGCTTGCCCCTGTCTCCTCTTAGCAGGTCTGCGTCGCCATGATTTTTCTAAAGCCACATTCCGTCTTTTACTGACACTCAATCAGCAATCTCGTCGCGGAGACGCCGAAAAACAGAAACAAAGAAATAAAATCCAAAGGGAGACATTAAAGCACAAGGCCGTTCTGACAACTCGGGAGCAAGACTATCTTTTTCTTAGCAGATAATGTAAAATATATATATAAATACAAAGCTTATTAAGGACATAAGTTTGATTTAGGTGTGATACAAAAGTCCGTGTATAAACTTGTATTAGCTGTTAAAAAAGGGAAATATTGAACAAAACCGAACGTCCACTTTTGGCTCACAGTAGCAAGACAGTAGTCTTAAATAGTTTTCCATAAAATGTATATATACATTGCGTTTTTTTATTTTGTTTGAAGGTGGGTGAAATGTACAAGTGTAAAAAGCCTGTTTTATTGACACGCAGTGTTTCCTTTTACCTGCTTTCTCGTCACTGTTCATGTGGTTTGCCAAGAAAACAGAGAGCCTGAACTATGTGCATATGTGTGTGTGTGTGGAGAACTAGATTCTATACTGCATTTCTGTGTTCACTTTCCTCTGAAAGGGGCGTGCAGGGCCCGAACCTAGCTGTGTCTCTCTTTGTAGAGTAATCTCAGTCTCGCACCATCAGATAAATCACAGGTGAGCTGAGTGCAGCACTATCACTGCCTTAGCTTCCCAAAAGGTCAAATAACATAGATTATGTGGGGATTGTGTAATGTCATGTGAGACAGCTGGGCCACAATTTAGTTTTGATGTTGAGGTAAAAGGGCAAGCAAACTACTGCTTTCTCACGCTGGACTTAATGCACGTTCATATAAGAGGGTCATAGTAATTAAATAATTACTGTAAGTCGATCAAGAGATACACATCTTTGAATCTCTTTTACAACCCATTTTGTAACTGGTATCAGTCAGCTGGAAAGGATTCTCTTGGGCACACATTGGGACCAGCGGGGCCGATACTGGCTCAGGGTGCCCTTAACCAAACCGGCCAGTGAAATTCAGACATTGCTGGACCCTGAGTCGAAGGGTCTCTACACGAGCGTCCGTTCTGAAAGCCATCGAAGTCTTTATCTGCGCAGGCTCTGTCGCAGATCTGAACTGTCGCAGCGTCAGTGAAAGCAGCCGGCCATAGAAGCCTTATTTCTTTTTGTTTTCATTCTGAGCTTCGAATCTGTAAATAGAAAACAGTGGTGACTTTTGGTTAACTTTGGGCGTTTTTAGTTCCCTCAGTGCGCGGGAGTTGCTTTTGTGGCTGGTGCACATTCATACAAGCACACAGGCAGAAGAGCACAGATGACATTATGCCACTCTCTCTACTAGAGAGGTACAAAATCTACCACTTTCTTGGGCTCTTTTTACTTCTGCATATTGCTACTGCCTTTTCTGGCTGAGGGCACTTGTTCTCCAGTAGTCTTGAAAGATGCCAGGGTATTAGTTTCAACAGGGAGGCTAGCTAGCTTGTTCCATACTACCACAAACTATAGCGTAAAGTACCGCATGTTAAACATAATAGACAAACACCACAATAAAAGTGTCGTTCAGGCTCTGCCTGGCCACTCATTTCCAGTGTATTGTGAGAGTCTAAATCATTTTCCCTCAACCCTCGGTGGCTGCAGTCTTGTGCTGCAACAGTGAGACAGCAAAGGAAAAGCCAGCTTGTGGCACCCATTGGCGCACTGTGGGGTGAAGCCTATATCGAGAATGAGAATTCCTGGCCTGAATCTACAGTAGCTCCTTTCACACAGAATCTGCAAGGCCAATAACCCCCTCCTCTCAATATTCTTCATTCCAGCTGTAAGGATTCGCTGTAGGAATGAGAAAGGCTGTCCTGAGGAATCCACAGAACAAGTATGAAATTAATGTGACAAAATCACATCAACTCTATTATATGATCACTATTCTTAAGGATAGAAGCCATGAAACTTTATTAAGCTAGAAAAGTACAACTCAACAGGAAGCACAGGTGTTAGAAACTGCCTTAGGGAGAATTCAATACTGCCATTACTTTAATGCATAGTTCCTGGGGAGAGAACATTGAACATTTAAACATCATAGTACTCAGATTAAGGTGTCGGTGTCTTGGCTTTAGCCAAGAAAGTGGTGATATCGGTCACAAGTCTCAGAATAAATGGAATGAAGATGCTGCTTCATTGGACGTGAGCAAAAAATTCAGAAGTGACAGCTGTGCGATGGGCACATTCACCAGCAGTGAGCCCTGCTTCGAGGAACACTCGCTGCACTACAATACAGTCGAACCTGTCTCTATTTTTTTTTACCACGCCAGTGGAAAGAAACTGGCTAAGGCAAGGTTAGACACTTTTCACACCGCGACGTGAAGCTGACACTTAACCCAATAAAGATTGCATGTGTCAGATTAAACGGGGGGGAGGGGGTTCTTAGTTTAATTTATAGGATGGTTTAGTTATAAATGATTAATACTGTGTAATAATGTTGAGATCGAACATATATGTGAGCTAGATCTTTTTAGATCACAAGTGTGCTGAGTTTTATCTAAACAGCGCTTTGCAATAGTTTTTTTTCTTATAGGCGTTTTATACTCGACTTTATACTTTTATTTTAAACGTACCTTCTCCTTTGTACTATTGTAGATTGGATGATTACACAGAAAATAGAACTCCATAACCACTCCAACACATTATGATGCAACAAGAACTGCAGATAAGTCTTGTGGCCTGTGGAACCAAGCCGTGTAGCAGGCTTGTGTGATCTAGAAATGGGCATGGCTATGAGTCACGTCCCATGCTGACTGACGCTTTGGGGACATTGCTCAATGTCTCTTTGTCCAGTGTGGTGGAACCTTTAGGGCTCGAGGACTGAAAACAACGATCCTTATTCTGCTTTAGGAGAAAGGATGGTCTCTCTCTCGAGTGTCTGGCAAAAACTCTCCGTTCTGTGTGGGAAACCTAGACCGTTTTGAAACTTGGCACTGAAAAACTGTGACATTCATCAGGCACTGTGTCCTGAAAGGGTGTGAAGTCCACAACAGTCAAGCACAAACGCAGCCAGATGTACCTGCAGTGACAAACACCTACACCAGGCACACACAAATCTCCACCACTGAGACTCCCAGGGGAAGGGACTGGAATTACTGATCACTGTCTCATTTTTCCTTTAAAACCATGACAGTTTAAAGAAGTGGACTGATTCTTTTGCTAAATTTGTGTAAAACTATATGCAGGTGAATCATACTGTACTTTTTTATGGCAAATACATGCCTAATTCATGCTACAGTAATGTAATTTTGAAGGAAACATTGTGTTTTGTCAGAAAATGCCAATACCTTTCGCTGCCTATGGAGTATTTTTAGACTGTTTTTAGGCACTTTCTGAAAGGGCTTAACTTCTCAACTGGTGGCATCTCAACAACCCTGGACTAGAAGTTATGTTTGAAATCATGAAAGGGTTTCATGACAATAACAGAAGGCAAAATGCAAAGGATATATAATTTATAAGGATTTTTAAGAGCCATCTTGATTATTCTTGATGTGCAGCTGTGGCAAAGACATCAGTTTTTGAGACATGGAATTTTTTAAAAGTTTATCTTTATTTTTTAAGAAACTGACTGCAGGTCTGGAAGGGACCCAAAATCTGACCCTTCCAGTAACCTTCCAGGCATCACCTGACAGAGCAGACGATAGGCTAAACAGGCCAGATCCTTCCTTGTAACCCACGTCATTAGAAATTCCATGGATACGACCAGGAAATCTGGGATTCCTATTGGATTTTAGTTCCTTAGGATGAGGGAAGGCCAGGCCCAATCTCCACTGCTGTCACCATCGTGCCCTTAATTTTCCATCCCTGTGTTTCCTGACACACAAACACACAAGTGTGCACCAGCCACTTGGAAAACCCGCAGGAGAAACGTCATGTCGGATCAGGCTTGTCACAGACAGTGTGGTGACAATCAGTGTGTGTGTGCGTGTTTGACATCACTTGTTGTTAATTGCCAAATATTTTTCTACTTTCCTGGGTTCTGTTCTCTCCTCCGGTAAAATAAAAACTGAAAGAAAGAAATAAGCAGATATATTTAAAAAAGGAAATTAATGCAATAGCTGTAGACAACATTTGATGTTCTTTTTTTGGTAACTTAGAAAGTGGCCTAGGGTACTCTTTTCATGACAAGATCTGGTGTATGGGGCATTTATTTTTTTGTATTTTGTTTTCTCCTTAAGCAAAATGTTAAAGGAAGCTGGTGTTCCAGGTAGCTTAGGAAACACACATCTCTACACCAGCCCTTGGTTTATTTCAGAGGACCACAGTTTTAGTTCTGTTTGATGCATACAGCACATTATAGGGGAGTAGACTTTTATGGCTTTAAATAAAAGCTATAAAACTTGTGTCTTAGATCATAAACCAGCAAAGGTGTTAAGGAACAGACCATGCTGGCCTCTGTATACATTCTTGAAAACTGCGGATTTGTTTTGGTAAAAAAAAGACAATTCTCTTCCAGCAGGGATCGATGAAACTACCTAGAAGGCTATTCATTTCTTAAATGTGTTTTTATATGATATGGAAAATAGTTTTAGTAGCATTCCCTGATCTATTTGGACATCTTTGTAGGTGGTTGAGTAGCATGACGTGCAATTTAAGCAATTAACCAAAAAAAAAAGGATCCTTTAATACACAGTGAACTACCAAGGCATCACAACTGCATGTGCACATCTGCTGTGCTGGAAGATAACGAGAAATCAGGTCTTTATTTGACATGAGAGTTCATTTTTATCGTGGAACTAAAGAGGGTTATACATATCAGAAGAAAATTAGAAAGATTGTAACCTGAAAAGGAGAGAAAGGCCATTTTATTTGCTTTGTAATGAGTAGCAAATTGACCCAATCTTATAGGACTGTACCAATGGATTTTAGAAGTACTAAATGTTTTATTTTGATATTCATAGATTAATTTTTTTAATAACGAAGGTGTAAATAAACCTGCAATTTTCAAACGTGCCGCAGAATACTCTGAGCATAAATTATGTCCAGTGAAGACACTGGTCTTTTGAAATCAATGCAGTTTTTTTTTAAATTGTTCTATATTCTAAAATATTGCATTTTTTTGTTAGGCAAGTGTAAACCAAGTAACGTCTAAGATCCTTCACCCTTATCAATTATTTTTCTTTTTTTCTGTAAAAAAGATTTACGAACTGAGTGAAATCATGGATCTCGTGTAATCGAAGCAATAATCGACAGATAATTTTGTTGGCTCAGCACTGCCTTTTAGAAAACTTGAGTAAAGCACACAGAGAAACTTACCAGCCCCTGCATCAGGTCTTTTACCTAAAGAGTCTCCCGGGTCTATTTTAGCTTCTGTCGAAAAACCTTGCCATTATTTAAATGTGACTAAAAAAAAAATGAAACGTTATCATTGTACTGTGTCGTAGATCTGTAGGTGTTTGTATGTACAAGTATAAATATGTGAAAAAAAATGAGTAACAAAAAATCCTTAATGAATGGACACTATTGTATGTTGTCTTTCTTTTGTGTGTTTTGTAAATGACAATTTAAAAAAGTGAATAAAATCAATAACTACAACTAGATATGGAGAAGATTTCAGTGTAACACCGTCATGGTGCCGTCTTGAGGTTTGTGTGAGATTGTTTTCTTTGATGCTGGAATCTGCCGTTGCACTTCCCAGTGCTACAATGGGTTAAAATGAATAAACTTACTTAAATAAGACTGGGTAAGAAAGTATGACTTGTTTTCCCTACAAGAGCATTTCCAATTTTCTTGCAGTTGTTTGGCATTCACATAATAATAACTATAATAATTGCTTACACTTATATAGCGCTTTTCTGCACACTCCACTCAAAGCGCTTTACAGGTAATGGGGATCCCCTCCACCACCACCAGTGTGCAGCCCCACCTGGATGATGCGACGGCAGCCATAGTGCGCCAGAACGCTCCCCACACACCAGCTCTCAGTGGGGAGGAGAGCAGAGTAATGAAGCCAATTCAGAGATGGGGTTATTAGGAGGCCATGATTGGTAAGGGCCAATGGGATATTTGGCCAGGACGCCGGGGTTACACCCCTACTCTTTTCGAGAAACGCCCTGGGATTTTTAATGACCACAGAGTCAGGACCTCGGTTTGACATCTCATCCGAAGGACGGCACCTGTTTACAGTATAGTGTCCCCATCACTATACTGGGGCATTAGGACCCACACAGACTGCAGGGTGAGCGCCCCTGCTGGCCCCACTAACACCTCTTCCAGCAGCAACCTTAGTTTTTCCCAGGAGGTCTCCCATCCAGGTACTGACCAGGCTCACACCTGCTGAGCTTCAGTGGGTTGCCAGTTGTGAGTTGCAGGGTGATATGGCTGCTGACATCGTCAGAGATCAATGAGAACCACATCCCAGTGAGTTCTGCGTCTAACAGCTCTGAAGGCTGTTAAAAGGGAGCTGCAACATCATTTTTATTGAATCAACATTGATGGGTACATTTCAAACCCCAATGAATATAAAATGTATACAGTAACGTGTTATAGCTCCAATTGACATCACAAAAGAGATGGCATTTCCAGGTTTGGCAGCGCCATGCTGGTGATAAGGGGCACTGTTATATTGGGAACAGGCAGGCTTGTGAAGACTGTTAAATATTGCTCTTCATTTGGAAACAGTTGTGCCGACCAATACTATTCACTTGCAGATTACGGTGGAACATTTCTGTGGTGAAATGTCTGCTGCACAACCTGAACTTAGTCGCTTGTACGTTGCATGACTTAGTCATCACAGTGACTAGTGAGCAGGAAGGGCTGCTTCACGTCACAATGCTCACGATCTCTCTCTCTCGCCCGTGGAGAGACCGGGGTTTGCGACAACATGGTGAGTATATGGTACAAGTAGCTGACGCAGCCTGCAAAGGAACAAGTAAAAGTTTATTAAGCACAAAATTGTGAACTTCGTGGAAGTACTGCAGAGTCCATGCTGAAAAGAAAAGAGACATAACATTTCAGCTGTGGAGCCTTCTTCACCTCTGTTGTCTCTCTTCTTTTCACCATGGACTCTGCAGTACTTCCACAAAGTTCACAATTTTGTGCTTAATTCGGAATTTGTGAAATTTGTGAATACGATTCCAGGGCTGATGTCTGCCCATCACTAGCATTACTGATGATCACTATGAAGGAGGTAGGGCAGATTTGTCAGTGGCTGGCACAATGTGATTGCAGCTTTTGCCAACTGGAGAAGCCGTTTGTGGTATTTTGTATCTGAATTGAACTCAACTAAGCCTGCAGCAGAGGAAGCCAGGCAGTCTTAAGCTTTGCATATTTGCAAAAAATGTTCTTTGATTGTATGTCGGCAGAGACAGAGTACAAAAGCTGTATCCCCATGCTATTGCAACTGCCCACCAATACAGCACTCTGCATACTTCATAGCTCAGCACACAGCTGGAAAAAACCAACCAATTTCATTGTTTTGGAATCTTACTTACTTTTATACAGGATTTTTCACGTCTGAAATATAAAAGTACTTAAGATTGTGACCCTTACAGATTTCAGAGTCTTGTCAAAATGTGACCACTAGCCAGTTTTCATGAAAGAATTAATTTCAACTCATCAAAATCATATATTACTCTTGACATTTCCATATGATAAGAATACTGCCTCATGTATGTGTTGTAGTTTTAGAAGTATACACTCTAAATCAAGCTTGTATCCATCTTCATTTTAAACCTCCAGACCTTGACACTGAAACTACCAGACCCTTCTGATCTAAGCCACCACACGGCTTAGGCACAACGTGCTCGAAGTGACTCATCGTTAACGAACCCGATTATAACAGTAAGGAGCTGGCTTTACTACAGAACACAGTACATAGTAAATAAAACAGTAAAGCAAAAACAATAAAGAGGATAAAGAACATTCATTATCCCATCAGATGCTTTAAAAAGGAGTTGATAAGCAGAGGCTTATAAATAGTTCAGATGGGGAGCTGCATCAGCATCCGGAGGTTGCAAAGGAACAGGTAATGTGCTTATTCCCTGCTGAACAGAGAAGAAAGGAAACAACGTTTCAGCTGTGGAGCCTTCTCCACAGCTGAAGAAGAAGGTTGCTCACACCTGAAGAAGGCTCCACAGCCGAAACATTGTTTCCTTTGTTTTCTTTTCAGCCTGGAACAAACCCGTTACCTGTTCCTTTGAGGCTTATAAATGCTTTGGAACAGATCAAAGAAAATCTCCTGGTTGAAAAAAAAAATCTGCATTATTGAACATGTATACAGTATTTTTCTCATTATACAAAACACATTAATCTATATGTGTTCAGGTGCTTTGTCCAAAACCCTGAAACTCAAAGGTCACTGAAGTTAAGTGTGTAAGTTAAAGTGTTTTATGCATCTGGTCAAAGGATGAAATTACTCGCTATAAGATACAATGCTGAAAATTAATTTCGGCTCACAGACGAAGCTTATGTAAGACCTAGACTGGGAAATTGGGTCTTTCAAAACAGAAATCTAGAAGAAACACAAACAAGAGAAAGCCTGTTTGGTAGCTTGTTGCCGATCTGTAACTTAACTTGAAGAGGAGCCTGCATTTTCCAAAGCAAAATCCAGAGAGACAAAGTTGAAGGGCTCATCAGAAAGGGTCAGGTCTCCTAAAAAGGGGTTTAACATTAATAACAACTGGATATGTCAATAAGATGTGGACTTTTTAAAATCCAAGTAGAATCCTTGTGCCTCTTAACAGGATTTTTCTCTTTAAAAAGAAGACATTTCGCAGAGACACAAGCTGCTCCACAACTGTTGAATACAGAAAACGTCCCAACGAAAAATGAGAAATAATCCAACTCAACATTAGCAACTACTGGTCCATACTGTTCATGGAGAAGCGCCGTTTTGACAGGTCAATGCAATGAGAACATCTTTGTGAGATGACAAGGAAATAGACAGGCTTGTTTTTTCTTGGCAAGAAAAAAAATCACTTTGACAAGGCAAGGAGTAAGTTTCCTGCTGGAATCAACTGCACCTCTGCTTCCTCAAGTGTCTCGTCAATGACGTGGCTCTGTCAAGCAATAACCCCTTGTGCCAGAGGTTCACTGACAAATGGGTATCTAAAAGAAAAATCCACTGGCTTGTGGGGTGTGACTCCCATCTCTATAAGATCCTGGGAAGATATGATCACACAAGCAACCCATTAACCAGAATTTTTAAGGGCTGGATGGTTTTACAGTTTACAACTAAGAGGTGTTAAAATAAACAAGTTACTTTTAATATCATGGAAACACTTAAGTCAATACAAGTTAAAAATAAGATCCAAATGCCAAGTGCAGTTTTATTTACTTCATAACAGGAAGTTGGGGTCCCCGTCCCCGTGGACTGAGGGTGGCGTCAGTAGCCGGTGGTCAGTCCCGGCCGGACAGCTTGTGCGCGGCGGTGCCGTCGTTCTTGGATCCGCCCAGGCAGGGGGGGCTCCTGGCCAGCCGGGGGTCGCTCTCCCACTGAGCTGGGGTCTTGGCCTGGATGGCCAGGGCGTGGACGGAGGTGGCCAGCTCGTCCCGCAGGGCCTCGTTGACCAGGCGGTGGCGCTGCAGCAGGGGCAGCCCCCCGAAGCGCTCGCTCACCACCAGCACGCGGAAGTGGGACTCGGAGCCGGGGGGCACGGCGTGGAGGTGGCTCTCGTTCCGGACCTCCAGGTGGGCGGGCGCCAGGGCCCGGCTCAGCTTGGCCCGGATGGCGCTCTCCACGGGGCGGCTGGGGTCCATCTGGGGCGGCTGGCCGGTCACGGGGCGGAAGGGGGCAATCGTGGACACGAAGGGGCCGCTCGTTCTGAGAATCCTCAGCAACATGGGCCCGGACACCGGAGGCTGGAAAACGGGGAGAACAAGCAGGTCAGGCACTTCCACCCCAAGAGCTGTCGCAGCCCTCGTATCTTTCAGCATCGAGACCGGGGATGAGCCGGACCTGGTCCAGGAAAACAGGGATCTTTAAAGGGGATCTGCAGTCCCAAATCCTCAACCACTTATTAAATCTCAGTAACAAAATAAATCCACTGACATTATAGAAACAATTTCCAAATTTTGAATTAAGCACAAACTAGTGAACTTTGTGGAAGTACTGTAAGTCCCCACGCTGTTGCAAACTCGCATTCAGGTTCCCACGAATTGTGACGTGAAGCAGCCCTTCCTGCTCGCTAGTCACTGTCATGATCAATGTAAAGAGTTCACAAATTAGTATTTGTTGGTAAAAGTGTCTTGAAGTCAAGGGATTTCTACTGGATTAAAAGAGATGTATTAACAAGCCTGCCTGGCTTCACTGGAAGTTCTGTTGCCTCACTCTGAATCACGGAATATGACATGACGCATACCTTGAAATGTATTATTATTTTCTGATTTAAATCGGGTTTTACAACTTACATTTGACTTTTCCTGAGCTTTAAAATTCACTCATCAATGCTGATTCGTTTTCACCCTGGAATATGAAAATAGTTGCAGTTCCCCTTCAAATCTGTTTTCTAACTACTTTATCCAATACAGGGTCTTGGGGGAGCCGAAGTTTGTCCTGGCAAGCAACGGACACCAGTCTACACACAGGGCTGAATTTCACAGAAGCCATTTAACCCACCAGTACGTCTTTGGACTGTGGGA